CCTCCACCACCTTTCCTCCTAAGCTGCTTCTAGGCAGCTGGCCCCCAAAGCGTGCTGCTGCATGGGGTTGTGCTGCTGCAGGTGCAGGCAGGATTTTTCCATGTGCCTCTTGAACTTCATCATGAACTTTGTTTAGCAGTTGTAGCTGTGTTGCACACTTGATGGGCAACCATCAGGCCAGGACTTGGCAACACTAAGGATCCTAGAGAAACTGAGCAATGACTTGTCTTCTCCCCCTGCTTTTACAGCTCACCATTCCCACCACTTCCTCCACTTCTGTTCCATGGCAGTAGGATTCAGGGAGGACAGGGGCCATTTCAGCTGTCTCTGACTCAGATTTGAATAAAAGGTGTTAACGTGCAGTTCTATGTTTTATAAAAACCTGAATTTTAGTGTTGTCATAGTACATAAGTGATTCTAATATGAAAGCAGTTTAACAAGGTAATAAGCTCCCGTGGCATAGCTATTTTTGTGCATGTCTCCAGTTAACATGCTCTGTGGCTTAGTTACAGTAAAGATTGCTTGACTACAGCAGATGCTGCTCCAAAACGTGTCCCTCCTTTAAACTTTTGGAAGTGGAACATTCATTCTAAGTTTTCCTTGAAATCAGAACAGCTTCTTTTGACTTTGAGAATAATTGCTTTTCTGCCAGTGTAAGCGTGGGTAGGTCTGCACCTGCAGAGGCTGTGTTGCTACGGCTGTGCTGACAAGGCTATGCAGCTTGTGCTGGTGAAACAGTTTTGTTCATACTTGTTATTTGCAGGCAGAGGTTTGGTGATAAGGCTGTTTAAATAGTACCACATTAAAATAACTGACAGTAGGGAATACTATTTTGTGCAAAATGAGAAATGCCCACTTACAGAATGAACCAGGAGAATCCTTCCGTCCATGGAGAAATGCTCAAATAGACGAATACATCGTCTCCTTCACATTATTACTTGATCAACCAGAATACAGGTTCCATTTTCAAAGTGATTGAAAGTGTGTGTAGCCACGCTGCTTTGTCTGTCTGCTGACTGGTCTTTTCCCTTCT